CAGGAATGTCTGAGAGTCCAGGCACCCTGAGGGGTTTTCCATTCGAGGGAATTTGTTTATTAGGTAACTAGCCCTGGAGTAACCCCAAGGCGGTTCTAACTCCCGGCCCTGATTTGCAGTGCAAATGGTCTTTCTTGAACCAAAGGCAAGAGTGATGGCAAAAGACGAGAGTCAGAAGCCAGCTGTCCCCATTATCTCTCCTCCCTGAGGACACCACTACCCTACGGTGGTGGGGTCAGCCCTTGACCTCCCCGGGAAAGAGCAATGCTTCTTTTTAACTGTTTACATGACTCGCAGCACTACACAGGTTTAATGAGGACCAAACAAGTGATGGGTTTGAAACATTCGGACTGGGATATGGTGACAAACCCTCACTTGGCAGAGGCCTTGATTTTAATCATTTTAATAGCTGTATTTCCAGTTCAGGGATGCTGTGGAAAATAACGATTGTGAGTATGGATCATTGTGTGTAAAGATTATGAAGCCAAAAGTTTATTATTATTGTTGTTGTTATTATTACATGTAAGTCCACCTCTGTAAACTACCTGAGATGAAAGCTAAATATCACTTGGGGGGCTGAGATAACAGGCAGCAAAAAACTGTGCCCTCCTGTGTTGGAATCATCTGCATTAGTCCACAGATGGTGAGTGGGGTGTCCCTACGGGAAGGTGGGGGTCTGGGAAGGGACTCTCGCTGCTGACCAAAGATTTCACACCTGGGACCAGAGTCCAGGCTGCTGGCTGTCACTCTCCACATTGTGACATACAACTGCTGGAGACAAAAAACTTTTCCCCTCCCCTCTTATGTTCTTAAGCTGGGGTCTGTGAATTAAATCGACAAAAGACAAATTAACAAGAGGAAAAAGTTTATTTGTGTACACATGGGAGCCAACAAAAGAAGCAACTGGCTTGTTGAATACATTTGACCCTTGAACAGTGCAGGTTTGAACTGTGGAGTTCTTATTCACAGAGGTCTTTATTTTATTTTATTTTATTTTAATTGAACTATAGTTGATTTACAATGTTTTGTTAGTTTCTGGTGTACAGCATAGCGATTCAGTTATATATACATATAAAACTTTCCATGTTCTTTTTCATTGTAGGATTTTTTTCCGTAGTAAACACTACAGTACCACTCAGTCCAGGATTGGTTGAATCCATGGATGCAGGGGAACCACAATGTGGAGGGCCAACCATAAATTATAGGCAGATTAATGCCTATGTCGCTTAAGGGTCAAATGTAGTTGAAGTCAGAGGACTATATACCTCTAGTAGGGGAAAGGGAGGGGAAAGAAAAGGCTTTTATGGGTTTAGTAAAAAGTAAATGAGTTTTAAGAGAACAATCAAGATAGTTTGTGATGTTTGTCTATTCAAATATGCGTAAGCTTTCCATCTCCATCAGGGCCTCAAAACCCCCGTTAGAGGAGGGACTTGGGGTAGATTTTACTGGCATTCTCCCTTCTGAGGGGTGGAGCTGTCCTGAAGAAGGGATTTATGGCAGCCTTCTTTCCCAGAATTCGTTGCTTTTAATCACATAAGGGAAGCAGCCCCAAGGTTTCCTTCTGCATCTTTGGATTCTCCATTGCCTTCAGCTCAAAATAATCTTTATGCCAAAGTGGCATACTTTGGGGGCGGGGTGTGGATTCTGATCTCCTTCACAACTGAGAGAGGACAGGCTTTCAGCGACCACCCAGGATGAAGCAGCCCCATGGAGCTGTCACTCTAGGTGTCCACCAGGGGCACTTTGCCCCCGCTGTGCACTCACTTGCCCAGAGCATCCTTCATCTTCCTGTAACCTGCCCCCATGGCCCCCAGCTCCCTCCTGCTGGATGTGGGGGGAAGAGTGGGGTATGAGGAAGAAACAATGACCACTGTTGAATAAAACTTACAGCCTCTCCCTGTAATCTGCCCCTCCTCCCCGCACCCCCAGCTCTCTTCTGCTGGGTAGGGAAGTCAACTATGAAGGAACATTAGGCAATTTTAATTAGGGCTTTGACATACAAACCCCATACTCTGACAGAGGGGTTAATAGTTCAGAATAGTGGGAGGAGGTGTATTATTTTTAGATTTCTCAAGATGCTAAGAACTTACTGGAAAATACTCACAGAACCAGTGTCAAAAGGGCGGAGTGGGGGGAGCAGGGTTAAGGAGAGGGCTGATTCTCAGGCTGGGCCAGAAGACAGGCTCTGCTGTGCTGAGGAGGATGTGGGAGCAGCAGTGGGGATTCTGGCTGAGAAGGAGAGGGTCCCCGGATAATGACTGTGAAATTCAAGCAGCTGGCTAAGAAAAGCAGGGCTGGTTGTTCGATGCCAGGCTAGACTAAAGAGCCCCAATTCCAGCCTGGCGGGCTGGTCCAGACAGAGGGAAGGAGAGTGGATTCACTCTCCAGTGAGGCGGACTGCGGGAAGCAGAAATAGGCTGAAAAAGGTTTGGGGCACATGTATGTGTCGTGGCAAGAAGACCTTAGGGCCAGGAGACAGGAGTTCTGGGTCCTTCCGCTGCCCACTGGCATCACGGGGAGTGTGGACCCTGCCCTGTATCCGTTGCATGATTGAGATGAGCCTGTGAGATGAGGGGTCCAGAAGTGTACCCACCACCTTATGAAGTCCTGCACACACGCCTATTGTGAAAGATTACTTAACAAGACGGAGTTAAGGTGGACATACACCAGGATGGATGGCTCTAGCGCCCACAAGAGGTTCCTTCTGAGCAAGTCTCCTTGGCAACTAGAGCCTCAGGCAGGACAGGACAGAGTTAACACTAAACATGGCTGGCGAAGCACCTGAGAGCTGGGATGCAGAATGATCAAAATGGACCTGCTCCTGCCTTAAAGGACCTCACAGCCGGGTGAGGGGAGTTGGAAATTTATCCACTGTGGCTGCTCCTGGGCTTCGAGCATCTCCAGTCTGACTTAGGTGAATTCCCAAGTCAGCTCTTCACTTGAGGACTCTGGTGCCTTCCATCTGCCGCCCCTGGTAGGCTGTGCACCCACAATTGGATCAAATGCCTGGTAATGGGATTACTAGGAAGTGCAGGGAGTATCGGGGGTGCTGGGAGGAGGAGAAGCCTGGGCAGCAGATGGGGGATTGTTGAGGAGAAAGCAGCCAGCAGATGCTGAAAGGCCTGGAGGAGAGGACAATGAGATCTGACTGGACCAAGGGGAGACAAAGGATCCTCTCGAGTCTGCTGACCACCTGCTCCAGGCCGGAGGGGCAGTGAGCGGCCCCACAGGCCCACAAGACGGACCAGACTGGCTTCTGGGCTGAGTTATCCTGGTCCCTTCCTTTCCCACTTCCCCACATGCTTCTACTCAGCTAAATTCTGAATTTGCCAGCCTCGTAGGTATGGTCTATGGGATGTGATTGCAAAGACTCCAGAATAGGGCCAGACACAAAAAGCACCCACCCACTCACAGGATGAGAACAGAAGTCCCGCTATTAGAGACCCCTTCCCTTTGGGGAGGGGGCTTGGAGATGCTTATCACATGTCAAAAGGCCAATAAAGTGCCCTCGGAAACCAACAGATTGCATGCCTTGTCAATCGTTAGCATCTCACTGAGACTGAGTTTATCTTCAAGGAGGAGGATACCCTCCATGGGCCTTGTCAAGGCCCCTAGGAAGGGGAGAAGCTGTCCCCCAGGAGTGGTGGTGAGAGCGGAGAGGGGAGCTCTGGGATGAAGGGAGTGGGAGAGGGAGGGAGGCGACAAGAGGTGATAGAAAGAGGAGACACAGAGAAGAAGGGAGGGAGGCAGCGGCGCCAGGGAGAGAGAGCGTCCTGCTGAATAATGACATCATGTTTTCCACTTACCTCATCTGGCACCAGCTTCCCAGGGGCTTGTTTTCATATGAATTAGAATGTTACTCAATTTGGGTTTTACGTATTTACCCCCAAGAGCTATTTGTTCTGACCAGTGTCTCTAACAGCGCACCCCCGCCAGCTCCCCTAATTCACAACCTGCCCTTCTGGAAACCAAGAGCTGACATCAATCTGGACGAATGCAAAGCACACCCACCAAGCGGGAAAGCTAGAGGACGTGAGGAAGATGCGGAATGAGCCTTTCGTGCCCCTGGCAGGCGGCCCCTGCAGGAGAATTCTGCACCCAGCAGCTCTGACCCCCAGCAGGTGGGTCTCGGATCCTCTCTGCACTGTTGGGCCAGCAGTG